CTCGGTGGACCAAGACCTTGTCATCCTCAACCTCGCTTTGGCCATTGCGCTTCGTGCAGAGTCTACCTCGTCCGTCTCCGAGGTTGAACGGTACATCACCGAGAATTGCCAAGGTGCAGCCAACGCAAGGATAACAGCGCCCGTCTCCAGCGTAAAGCAGGTCACTATTGCACTACTCAGCGTTCGTTCGCCGCTTAGTTTGCTTCACTCATCGTCTTTGGCTAATGCGGCCGCAGGGCTGGCACTACTTGTTCCACGACGCGCCCCGATCAGCTTGGCGCATGTGCGGCATCGCCGGGCACATGTTGATGGAGCTTGGATATCACAACGGCCACGTTTTGAAGCAAGTGCTGGATAATGAGACGCAGACCGCCGAGGTGTACAGCATCATATGCAGCGTCATTATCCTCGATCGCCAATGGAGCGCGTCTACGGGGCTGCCAACGCATTTTAAAACATCTAGTTTCGACCCCTTGCCCAAGGACTTGGTAAGCAGAGGCTGCCGTCGCGAGCTTGGACGAGCAAGCTAACGCTATTTACAGGTCAAGAACCCGTATCTGAAAGCCATGCTGGCCTTCATCATAATTAGCGACAAGTTTGGCGAGCCCATCTTCAAAGCCGCCAAAGGAGAAAGTTACCTGGACGAAGACGCGTTCGAGGTGATGAATATCCAAATCGACCAGTGGAGAAAAAAGGCTGTAGGTGACGTCTCTCTAGCCCAGCTGGGCTCGTCGTTGGCGAACCCGTCCATGAGGCCGCCTTCGTGGGTCATTCTCCTCAATCTGCGTGCCGAGTCTGCCCGGAGCCTGCTTCTCAAACCGTGCTTCTTTTTGAATACAGACATTGAGGATGGCAAGAAATACCTCCCCCCTGCCATAGAGCTAGTATATAACATGGTGAATACTCTATACCTGTTAGACAGCTCTACTAACATTTACCGCACGCAACATCCATTCTATCAGCACCTGCTGGCATCTGCTTGCGCCCTTGCCTTTCTCGTCGTGGCCTTCATCGAGCAAAACAAGACTCTACTGCTGGCGACGTTGCCGGCCAATCTAACCGACTGGCTTAGTCGCAGCCTCCAGATGGCTGTGGCGCTGGCGACAAACTATGCTCATATATCGCGCGCCTCGGGTAGACTTCTTCAAAGACTCTCCGAGATGCGCGGCATTCTTGTCAATTTGGGTTTGCTAAAGGGACAAGATGGCCAGGACAAGGGATTCCCCAACGGGAATGAGGATGGGCCGTCTGCCGCGAATACCTCCAAGATGTCCCAGAGGAAGAGAATATCTACATCTGCCTTGCCGGACCAGTTCAGCCCGTCGTTTGCTAATTTCCCCGTGGCAGCAGCTTATGGAGCCGGATTGGGTTCCGTTCCCGGCACAGACATGCCGTCCGGATGGGCGGAGTCGATCTGGGCACATTGGCCATTTTGCGACGATGACAACTTGTTCTTGGAAAACCAAACGTGAAAGAAACGATACTAGAACGAAGCATCTATAAACTACTTTAATACACAAGCCCTGCAACCTTTGCACCGGGGTACAACAGCGAATTCAGTCCCTCTCAAACCCGTCCCAGCGCTTGAATCCGTCCGTAAACAGCCCCATTGAGTCCAGCATCCTCCCAGCCGTCTGGTCCACCAGGTCATCCATGCTCTTTGGCCGCGTGTAAAAGGCAGGAACGGGCGGAAATATGACAGCCCCCGCGCGCCGCAGGAACAGCATATTGTCGAGATGCACGTCGCTCAGGGGCGTCTCGCGCACGGCGAGGAGGAGCTTCCGGCCCTCCTTGAGGGTCACGTCGGCCGCGCGGGATATCAGGTCGTCGCAGAAGCCGGTGCGCACCGCGGCCAGCGTCTTCATGCTGCAGGGAACGATGATCATGCCGTCGTGCTGGAAGGAGCCTGATGCGATGGGCGCGGAGAGGTCCTTGACGACGTAGCTCCTGCTGGCGAGGGCGCGGATGTCTGCCTCGGACGCCGTCGTCTCGTACTTCATTGTTGCGAGGGCCCATTTGCTTATGACGAGGTGTGTCTCGACGCCTAGCTGTTGGAGTATGGACAGGATCCGGGTGGCGTATATGGTTCCCGTGGCGCCGGTGATGCCTACGACGATGCGGCGCGGTCTGGTTTGCCCGTCGTGGTGATGTATCTTGGGACTGGGGGCTTGGTTCGCGTATTGCTGTAGTTTTGTTGCGCTGTCGTTTGAACGTGTGCTGTATGGGAGCTTGGTGATGAAGCGGGCTGCTGGTCTGGTTGGGCGCAGTAGACTCAGACGGTGAATTAGGCTCCTGCTGGCATGGGTGGTCATGGCGGTGGTGCGGTGTCCTAATGCAACGTCGATTCAAATGCTTGTGAAGACGTTCTCAGTGTGATTTGTTTTAAAAAAAAAAAACGCCCCGTCAATAGCTCGCAAATTTCATGGTGTTTCTAAATGCAAGTTTGTTATTCCAAGAGCTTCTTGCATGGCCGCTGATGGACGGAAAGTTCCTGGCGGAGCACCCTCGGCTTCAGCCCCGCTTTTCCCCGGGCGAGAAAGGTGGGAACAAGACGGTCCACGGATCATGGTCCGAATATCTGTCATTTCGCCCGGACGCCCCGGAAAGGAAACCGTGGAATGCCGTCAAGATGATCTCATTTGGTCATTGAATTCCAGTCCATAGTTTTGAGTTTGGTTCGGGTGCGTACTGACAACCAAGAAACTCAGTCCGGCGCTAGGGGACAAAAGGCTCGGAATGATTTTCGGAAGTTCCGCCTCACTTTTTCGTCCGCCTCACCTTTTCGTCGCCCGGCTCCCCTGGAATAAACGTCAATGACTTTTCTAGGGAGTCTCAAACCTTAAAATCGACTTTTCGTACAGCTATGTAATGCAGCCAGCGAACCAGGGTCTTGGCATTGTGAAAGTTCGGCCAGTCCTTGCCATGGCGTTCGTCTTCACCAGCAGAGTCAGTCGCGCATCTGTGCATTTGCGATTCACGCGACCGTTCGCCAGGTCAGCATATCGCGCCCAAAGCACCCTGTCTTCCCAGCCAGACCACGTCGCCGCACAGCTCGACTTTCGCACATTCGTCGATGTGCTCCGCGCCGACGGCGATCTCGCAGAGATCAATGAACAAGTCGACCCGCACCTCGAGGTTGGTGCCATCGTTCGGCGTGTGAGCGAAGTAAACGGCAAAGCACCTCTCTTCAACAACGTAAAGGGGGCTAAAAATGGCCTGTGGAGGATATTTGGCAACGCCGCGAGCCTTCGAAGCCGTGAGGAGGAAAAGTATGGCCGGATAGCGCGGTCGTTTGGCTTGCCGCCAGATTCTAGCTGGAAGGCCATTCTGCAGAGAAGCCAGGAAGCAAAGCGTCGGCCACCGATTCCGCCTCGCATCCTGCCCACAGGACCGTGTAAGCAGCACAAGATTTTCGGCGACGACATTGATCTGCACAAACTGCCGGCTCCGAAGCTCCACCAGGCCGATGCGGGCAAGTACCTACAGACGTATGGGGTGCATGTCCTCCAAAGCCCAGATGGCAAGTGGACAAATTGGTCCATCTTCAGAGGCATGATTCACGACAGCAGACGGCTCGTGTGCCTCGTAGGATCGGGACAGCACAACTCCGTCATTAGAGACATGTGGCTGAAGAAGGGCAAGACGGAAGTCTCGTGGGCGCTGGCGTTTGGCGTCCCGCCCGCGGCCAGCGTCGTGGCGGCGTGTCCTGTTCCTCAAGGCGTGTCGGAAGCCGAGTACGTCGGTGCCATGGTCGGCCAGCCGCTGGACGTGGTGAAATGTGAGCTGAGCGATCTGCTTGTTCCTGCGAATAGCGAAATCGTCATGGAGGGCACCTTTTCCTTCAAGGACAAGGCCCCGGAGGGTCCGTTTGAGGACTATCTCGGCCTGCACTTCAGCGACGACCAGCATATGCAGCCGCTTTTCACGGTCAATGCGATAACCTACCGGGACGGAGCTATCCTGCCCGTCTCTGTTCCTGGCAAAATCACCGATGAATCTGTAAGTTTGGCAACTGAGGCAATTTGTTATCGTTTCTTACGCAATCTAGCATGTGACGGCGTCCATGGCTTCGGAGGAGCTCTTGGAGTTGCTCCAGCAGCATGGGTATCCCGTGATCGACGCGTTCGCTCCGCTTGAAACCTATGCGACCTGGTGTGCTTTGAAGGTCGACGTCAAGAAGCTTGCGGAGATGCGCACAACGCCCGAAGAATTTTGCAACAAGATTGGCAACTTGGCGTTTAATGACAAGAGTTCCATGTTGATGAATCGCATCATGCTCTTTGGGCACGATGTAGATGTTGGAAACTTCAGGGATATCATGTGGGCGCTGGCGACGCGCTGTCGCCCTGGTCAAGATGAGTACGTATTTGACGATATTCCCGTCCTCCCTCTCACGCCGTACATGTCACATGGAAGGGGGAATCCGACCCGTGGTGGAAAGGTGGTGTCGGACTGTCTGTTCCCAATGGAGTACGAGGGCAAGACTAGCTTTAGGGCATGTGACTTTGAGAGAAGCTATCCAGAAGAGATTAAGGAACGGGTTAGGTCAAACTGGACAGCGATGGGATTTGATAAGGTTGAATCGCCGTCCAAGCCGACATGAGGGATGAGGGGTGGCCAACTGTTGAGAGTAAATTGTGGAAATATTAACAAACATCGTTTATATTATCTATCTGCCTGCAAATATCGGTGGCGCAACGTGAAACTCTTATACAACCGTCCATAGCCCAGTTCGTTTCTCTTCATCATACTTCTCAGCCTTTGCTAGTTACCTTTGCAATATAACTTGTCTGCTGCACTCCCAGCTCTTGTACTTTGCTATAGATCCTTCTCTTGCACGGTCTCTCAGATAGTTACGACTATGACCCAGTTGCTTGCCTGCCAGATACGGGCCATTGGGCCGCCGCACCAGATATTGTAGTAGTTGGCCTGGTTAATGAAGACTGCTCAGACGTTAACCATATCTTTTCGCTTCCTAGATCGGGTCTTTTTTTGCAGGCCTAGCTGGAGTTAGCTTGCGATGCAGCCTACTTGGCAGTATTATGAGATCAGTTGATTACATATATGTCAGGCGAGGTAAGGTACAGAGTGAAGCTGCAGCAAGGTGCTCGCGGCGCCCCGACGCCAAAACAATAGCCATAATAATTCATATGAATATATGTACTAACCTTTGTCTCAAAATTTAATTTCCGCTTCATACACTGTCCTTGAGAGCGGCCCGCGCCAGAACAACGATGCTGTGGGTTCCCCCCTTGGACATCAACAGAGTCCGTACTGTTGACAGACACGCCAATTCTCTTGTAACTTTCAACGTTCCACCAGTAGATGGACACCCACGCCAATTCATCTAGGTGGTCGATAATGTGGGTGTACAGTCGGTGAGGCCGCTCGCTTGGCGTGTCAGTCGTAAGCTCCTCATTGCACAGAGGACAGCAATCTCTGTTTCTTCGCTTGGGCACCACGCTCCTCTCTACCGTCAACGTGTTCCAGCACGCTCGGCCAGGGTGACTTGTCGCCTCATCGTGAATGAGGTGATCTTCCAGGTCGCCCTTGGTCAAGAAGCAGGTAGAACTGTCGTTACAAAATGGGCACGACCATCTGGTGGAATGGATGTTTTGAAACCAGTCGGCATCGTGGCTCTCCATATGGCCCTTCCATTCTTCTACAGTTGAGAAGTACATTAAGAAATGTCGGCATTCCGCCGAGAGGCACACATATGGCTGCAGATCAGCTTTCAAGTGAGACCTAGAATAAAATTAGCACCGAAGTGACATGGCTCTAGGAGGTAACGGTCCACTCACAGCCATCGGGCTCTCTTTTCCTCCTTCGTTTCCCATAGTGGAAATATAATATTATCTAAGCAGTATGGGCATTGAACGTCGCTTTCACCATGTGCCGGCTCTGGTGGATCTGGACATACTGGAGGATATGAAAAGATACCACCAGTAATACCCTGTTGTTGACTTCTTGATGCACCAGGGTTGGCATTTTCTGTTCCCATTTCATATTGCAACCTATCAGACGTTAACAGATGATGGATAAGCCGGCCGCGCCGATACAAGATGGACAGTGTCAGCTGGGCTCGCAACGTAGGCTCAGCACCCGGGAAGAGTCTCTGTATTAATTGTGAGACATATGGCGCATATTTATCGCCCCATTCTCTTGCGATACGACGACGGATTAGCAGAGCTTCCCTGGCGACTGGGGATTCGTGGATCTGAATCATGGGGACAAGTCGTTCGAGCCGGCTGATGGCTCCGGTAATTGCAAACATGGCAGCATCATTCTCTACCACTGTGTTGATTGGTGGATGGCGAAGAAGGGCTGGCATGATTCAGTTAGAAAGCAATAGCCAACGCGACATATGCGATGGTACTCACTTTGCTCAAGGCCCTCCTCAAGAACCGAGAGCATTAACATGAATAGTTCTTTAAAATCATGGGAGAACCGGAGACGACGATCAAGACGAATACTTTTATGATCAAAAACGCCTAAGGTTCTCGCCCAGGTCAAGAAGCGACACTCATTGTTCAACACGTGCCATCTATATGGAGTGGGCAACTGGAACATCTTGAGGTATGTGGAAAAGAGGAGTCGGCACTTCTCGGCCTGTAAGTAAATGTCTTGGGCTTTTGAAATGGCGAGTTCGCCGTTTTGGGTATAAGCATCAGCCATGGCTGCGTTTTGCGTTCACCCGAGGTTGCGGAGGGAAAAGAGAGAGTAGAGGATCTGGTCAGACTTTGCCTTTTGTCTCAACATGGCTGGAAGCGTTTGTGTAAGCCTTGAATTTGGGGCAGAAACTTTTACGTAGGACAAGAGGCGACCAGACATGACTGCAGCGGACTCACACCACCAGACCGGTTCAGCACTGGGCGAGACCAACTCACCAGGCATGGACTGTCGTCACTGTGCTACCCACCTACCTGGGTACTTCGAGTGGCCGACTGGTCGACTGGCGGTTTGTTACTGGTCTGGTTGGCATGTTCGGAGTACAATGGCGCGCAGAGAGCCAACCAGACTAAACCTTTATGCATGCATGCGTCTGGTGCTGAATCCTGATGCATGTTCGGTCCAGTCAGGAGTCAGGAGCATCGACCAGGCGGCCTCGACCCCCTGGCAAAGGGCGGCCTGTCTGGATGTACTGACAACTTTGAAGATAAAATGACCAGACCAGACAGTACATTGATGTACTTGAGGTCGTACTACCAGACTCATCTGATACTATTGGTGGCTCCACTTTTAGTCCATATCCCATTGACGGCCTCATCATTTCGTCAACAGCCCTTGTGCAACAGACTTCAATGTTCTCTTCTGCGGTGCAACAACTCCAAGCCCCGAGAGTTTGCTCCAAGTCCATTCGACGATTGCTTCGTGTGCTTATGCCCAACCACACCAGCTGTCACATCCGACAGTTCAATCATTTTCAGTGCCAAGTACGGAGTACAGGGACACGGTCGCCACGGCGGAAATTGTGCGCCCCGGACAGTCAACTTGACTTCCTCTTCTGAGCAGCCCAGTTAGATATTAATAGTTCTGAGCAGCCAGTGGCTGTGCATGGTTCAGAGCAGGCGGTATCAGTGGATGGCGGTTGAGGCTCTGGTCTTCAGAGATCACGGCGCATCCTCTACATGCTTGCTCTACTCCGAAGGAATAAGTGCGAGGGGTTGCCCATAACTTGTTGTGCTTGTATTCGAGTCTTGTAAAACCGTCGATGTTTCCCTTGTCATCTCTCCTCTCCCTGATAGTAAAAACAACATAGGACACGGCTCCGCCTCGTGCCTGGTAATATCACATGTAGCCTTCGTTCTGGGCCACCTGTTCTCCTTGAAAGCACACTGGAGAAAAGTCAACACCGGCGGATACAATGTTGGTAAATATCAAATTGTATCAGTCTATCAATGACCTGACCTACCCTACTCTCCGTCGGTCCGAGAACAACCCCTTCGAGTCGTCCACGGGCGACGACCAGGAAGCCCGAAAGAGTAAGGCTGCTGCCAAATTTCAAGTCTTTGAGGCAGGGGCCCCCCTTGTTTCTGACAGCCGCGGAAACCTCGAAGCAATTTTTCGAGTAGACGAGCTGTGCAAACAGGGATGGAACGATTCAGCCTTGAACCAGATCGAAACACTGCTCGGGGATGAGGTCCGAGATTTTGGTTCAAAGGTAAGTCCGCCGGCTCACATTACTGCGCTGGATGGATGGTTGCCTGAGATGATGGGAAACACTAGATTCAAGTCAACCCCGAGGCAGGCATGACTGCCCACGAAAATGTTGATGAACCCGAGGCCAAAGCCAAAGAGTACATAGATGCCCTGTCTCAAACTGGACTTCCCGATCCGAGGTTCCATCTTACAGTTTTTCCGGCGTCTCTTGATGAGGGACTCGCTGGCCTCAAGCAAAAAACCGAGCTCAATGCACGCATTGAGAAAAGGACTCAGGCGGTGTGCTCTCCCTTGTTGCTTAAGCCTCAGCCCGACTACAGCGCGGCGGTAGAGTTCGCAGATCCGACAAAGCTATACGAGTTGCTGGCGACTCGGAAACACTGCTCAGAATGGCGGCACAGCGCCTTTCTGTTGCTTTCTGACCCTGACGATTCCGATATTCTCTTTTCAATGTACCTGTCTAGCTGTAAGAAAAACGCGACAATAAATAATCATCAGAGCTTTTGGCATAAGGCAACATGTAGATATGAGAGGTTTGTCAGCAGAATCTTTCTCCGAGTTCAATAATTCTGAACTAACAAGACCATTGTCTCCCTAGCCTGGAATCTGCGAGAACTTCAGATACCGAAATTGATGTATGTCTGCAGATCGAGACGGCGTGTCGTTATAACGTACCCTTGCTGCTCTCCTTTAACTCTGAGCGTCTTTGGCGGACGCGAACCTCTATTAGTTCAGGACTCCACCACAGATCCATACCACTTGACGAGAAAAACCTCACGCCTGTTAGCCTTGGGGCTCTCATGACAGGAGAAGAACTTAAGACAGTCACCTTAGATGATGAGGTTAGAAAGGCTTGGCTAGCACATCGACTATCACTATCCCTTCGCTTATTATATATGGGACCGTGGATTCAGCAAGACTGGGACTTTGATACTTTACACATCATGCCGAAGAACAATAGCGAGTTATTGCCCCCCATTGACGAATTATACATCGGTTGCACTCTCGCCCCAGGTTATGAAATGGCCAACTCAACTCCGACAGCGCGCTGCTCTCCGTATAGTTCGCAGATGTGTCCAAAGTTCTTTTTATCATTTGCTCAGCTTTTGGTGGATATTCTGAAAGGTGAAAGGGGCTATCGATCTTATAGTGAGTCCCAACTGAATGACTGGTTTTATATGCTTCAGTACGAGGTCGGACACAATTTGAAAGAGATGTCAAATGAATATTACTGGAGGGCTATTGAAGGCTGTATACTTTTCACCATGCACGATGATAGCCATGAATGCGCAGATGCGCTGGTGCGAGCAAAAGACGTCATCTCTAAGCATATTATTACTTATTTGAGAATGCATGTCGAATCTTGCCAGGCGAAACACTCCCGGTGTCTTCAACCCGATGGTACGAGTGAGGAAACGGGCATTCGCCTTTGGTCGGAAATTGAAAGCAAATACCAGCAAATGTACGTGAATACACAGCCTCAATCCGTTTTCGCCATCACTTACAACCACCACAGAGACTCACCCAAAGCTCGAGGCGAGGATAGCTTCGTCACACACATGAATAGGTTTACCGCCACATTCATCAAGAACCTCCCAGCGTTAGAAAAGAAAGTGAGAGTCGCGATAATTGACTCAGGCTTCTACGTGCACGAGTGCGATCCGTGGCTGAACAACCCCGCTGTTGAGGCAAGAATCGGCGAAAAACGAAACTTCTTTAGCCCTGACGACAACGACCCGGATAAAAGCAAGTGGCAGGATATGACTGGCCACGGGACCCAAGTGGCTCGGCTGGTGCTTCAGTTTGCGCCGCTCGCAGAGGTAGTTATTGCCAAGATTACGAACTCGCCGACTCTGAAGTATACCAAAACAGAGCGTCTAGTAGAGGTACAGGTCAAGTATCTCCCATCAAATACTATTGACCAGATCTAAGCTACCCATGAAGACTAACTGGAGTCATAAATTCGCCAACAGGCACTCAAATGGGCTGGCGAACGCGCTGACATCATCAACCTCTCCTTCAGCCTGGGGACGCTGCCCATCATAGATGTGCAAAAGGAAATCAACAACTTGGTGGACAATAAAAAGCTCGTGTTCGCGGCCGCCTCAACCAACGCGGCCAAATGGGCCTCGCGAGCTTGGCCTGCCAGAGAACGCGGTGTCTTCGCCATACACGCGTCGGATGAAACTGGTGAAACCTGTGCGGGCATAAACCCAGACCCTCTATCAGAAGACGACAACTTTCTCGCATTTGGCCTCGAGGTCGATTCGTTTTGGGATGGCCGTTACCAGCGCATATCCGGGACATCGTTTGCTACGCCGGTGGCGGCCGCCATCGCCGCAGACATGATAGAATTGGCGAGACGGATTCCAGAGTCCAATTTCGGCGAGGACATCACAAGGTACAGGGTCATGCGTAATTTATTCCTCAAGTACATGTCGGAAAACAAGGTGCCCGGCAACTTCCACCGCCTCGTACCCTGGACAGAGAAGCTCTGGGATTGGAACGGGCCGGTAGAGACGCAAGAGAAATTCAAGTATGCACTGCGGGACGTCATAACGTTTTGTTGAATTTGTCAGGGTACAAATGTATCTAGTATAGTATTTATATATTATCCTATTACTTGATTTCATATTATTTCTCCTTCAATTCATTTACTCCTGCCCCCATTAGCTGTATTTACCTAGGCACGAGCTGTGCTGTGGTGTCGTCGCCCACACGACCATCATTCCGTCAATTGTAGTTGCCATGTTTACTTCGGGCCAACGGTACATGGCTAGCTGGGCCCGGAAGGCATAAAACCTTGACGCCTTGCTGCCGAAGGCCTGGCTGGAACCCATTTCGCTGTCAGTACTCCGTACATGTAGCGTCGATGGAACGTTGAATCAAGAACGGCCTGTGTGACGAGGCAATTACGGTGCGTCAGCACCCCCCAACAGCAGCCCGCCACGAGCCTATCGTCTAGGACAGCACTGTTTAGCCAAAATCATTGGCGATGCTCTCTTTGCTTGGATGCAGCTTCCAGCAGACAAATATATTTAGACCTGACTACCCGCCTATTCAAGGGCCATGGCCTGTCAACTGAAAGCAAACAACCCCATCACTTCTATCTGATAGCTGATCTGCCCCGTCATTGACCCCCTTTCCACCATGGCCCCGAGAGGCAAAGCCATTCTGACGTATCACGTCGTACCGCGCTTCGATATTGCTGCCGAGGGCGGTCCACTCTCTCTCGGCACCATCGTCGCCAACCTCCAGCACCTCGTGCCGCTGAATCGAGGCTTCCACGTCGAGGTGCCTGAAGCTCTGAAGTACACCCCCGTCTGCCAGACCCAGTTCAGAGAAACCTTGATCAAGGCTCGGGAGGCCAACTTCGGTGCCTGGCTCAAGGCGATTGGCATACCAGTTGGAGGCTCTGTCATAGGCGGCGGCTCAAGGGACCTAGAGTCATCCGTGTCCTGTGACTCAATCGTCACGACCTACTTCGACCCAGACAACGACTACTTCCAAAAATGCCTTGCAACGAGGCCAATTCAAGACTGGGTGGAAGCTTCCAATCATTTCACTGCCAATCTATACATGATTACAGGTCTCAAAGTGGCCAAGAATTTGAAGTTCAACGCATCCCGCTCTACTGAGAAACATGGCAAAGCCGAGCTCCAGGTAAACGAGCCTCATACGGGCGCCGTGGAAGGCGGTGTGAGTGTGGATGCTTCTGGTGGCACCAAGAAAGCGACCGAGTTTAGCGTTGACGACATCATCATCGCATACAGAGTGAACCATTACGCGTGCTCGCAAACGCGGTGGTTCGGCAAGCACATGGAGACGAAAGATAAGGGTCTTCTCACGGGCGACCTGATGAACCACGAGCAAAAAGAGGCGGAGCAGCCAGAGATGACGTTTGAACCGTTGTCCATTCCAGAGGAGGTGGCCGCTCAAGAGCGGGCTATGGCTGATGGGAGTGATGAGTGCTGGGTATAGTGGAAGGCACAAGCTGCTGAACTGGAGTAAATCTGAGAATGCCAATAAAATACTGGAGTGGTGTTACAAAAAATCCCCAATGTAATACAATATTCAAAGGTACATCTTGGTGACTAAAGGTATATTATACCGATCTGAAGCGGAGCACAGCTTCTGCTTCCAGAGCTTTTTGAGACACCCAACGCCCCGACGTGAGGCTCAAAGCAACTGTGCTGGTCTTTGTACGGAGTACTCGGCAGACGTATTTTCACAGGACTACGAAGTACGGAGTACTACTCCGTACATATGTAAGGAATCCCTGCAAAAAGAGGGCTTATGCGTGGATTGTGTGGCGCGCGCCAGCTGTGGCCACGACAGTTGATAACGTCGACTTGTTCAAACGTCATTTCCGGCCCGCCTCCTTTCGCTGAGCACCAGATAGCGGGAGATTGAAGCTTGTGACACACAGTGTATGACAAGTGTTGAGGGGAAATCCCGGTCGGAAACGCAGGTTAGCATGGCCACACGTCACTGCAAGTCTTGCCCTCCTGAATTCGTTGGGGGCGGGGCGTGAATTTGATTCGCAGAAACTTCAATATTGATTGCTTATCGTACTCCGTAGTGCAAGTATTGCAAGGTACTTTAGGTGTCGGTCGATGTCTCCCACGCACTCCGTACTTAATACCTTGGACGTACTCCGTACTCCGTACCAGGCCACCGACGACCCCCGGCGTGAGGCGTTACCCAGTAGAAACACTCTGGATATTTTCCAACGTCTCACGAGACTGTTTCAGGTCGCCTAGACCGTCATTGAACATGATACCTTCTGGCCCTCGTCTCCTTGAGGGAGTTGAGCTCTTTGAGAAAGCAGGCTGTGGCAAACGACGCGGAAGCTATCAAATTCCCCGGCGCCGTGACACGTTGAGCTGACATTGTCCACCCTTTTGGTGCGACCTACAACCAAGCACTCCCAAAATGACTGAATTGTGACGTCCTGGTCGTCATGGTCGCTGGAATGACCGCCATTGGCCAATTTCTCGCTGCTGTGCTCAGCGCGGTTGCGGGTAAGCTTGGGATTCGACGTCGATTTGGCCACAGTACTCCGTAATTCGATCCTCGTATCAGATATTACGCGTTAACTCACCAGGCAGGGTGCAAACACGGCGTCTTCGGCATGTTCAGAGAGCCGACCGCAATCTCCAGCCTTGGAATAATACTGCAGGAGAGTGCATCTCAGTGAGCTTGACGCAACTGATAATTTTAGTCCTTCCGGTTACATGTCAGCAAAGATGCGGCGCCTATTCGAAATCAGTCTGAGAGTGCCGAATTGCATGACGTGGATGAAGAAGGCTGCCATGTCGTGACGTGCAACAGGCCGGTTCAAAGCTGGAGGAAGGCTTAATGACACGTCAGGTGGACGTGGGTAGGTTTCAGGGAAATGAGTCAATACATCGATGTATTGGCTCTCGCCCGGCGGTCGAGACCGGATGAACTGATGCCTCGCTGAGCCGCCTCATACCTGGTCATGCGACCGCTGTGCGACGCAGTAGAAACTTTCGACATTCCGGCCTTTTCCCTTACCAACATGGCCCCAGTAATGTTCAGACGGCGGGTTTGCAGACGAAGTTGAGGGCAAACCAGACGAGTGATCATGTTGCCACTGCGCCATCAAGCAGGCGTCGGATTACAGGGCTGAAATGGGAATAACGACGCCTAAATACACTGACCATTGTTCATATCCTGGTTGGCCGAGGCCACCATCTTTTTAGCCGTCAACGTGACAAGACGGAGTAGAACATGAGCAGTATTAATCACCATCAAGCCAAACCTGTAGGCGTCATTTGCCAATTTGGCCTGAGGGAGAGAGTTCAGACTGATGTCATGGACAATTGGCTGTTTACGTATATTGATACCGACAACAGCAAGGACGTTCACGGCGTTGTTGACTTCGTCGCTGGCACCCCCATGAGTGAACTATTCTCATGGCCACGTGATAACCGTTCCTAACCGTCTCGTCTTCAATCTAATAAAAACACCGTCATCGAGGGCCATTGTAAGATCGATTTGGTAATGGACTGGGTCCTGCTAATGAGTCCTGGCTTTAAACACGGGAACATCGGCCGCAATTGTACTAAAACCTTGGACTAGCTGGTAAACTGTCAAGTGTATTTGGTCAATTTCATTGTGATGTGTTCTGCCATCACGTCAAGCATCCTCATGGAACAAGATCATTATTATAAGTGAATGTCAACTACCTCCAAGGCGCTTTCGTGCCCCTCCTATGAAAGCATGGAATGTAAAATCGCTATCGCTCGTCCGAGTCTGTACATGGACTTCTTGCCACCTATCTGGGCGAAAACTCATGGCATGACCAGGCATACGCCAAAGAGCATATTGTGGTCTGGTGTCTTTATGGTCTTGCCCAGATTCGCCGCCGCCACAAGGAAGACTAGTTGATTCGCGACACAACCGGCCGTTGATAGGCACAGCTGGGAATAGACGGAGCGTCTCATATACAACATGGTCCAGGTAGCGCCTTTCATGAGCTCGTCTCTGGCGTTGCCCTAGTCCGTTGTTTTCCACAGGAAGTTGGTAAAAGCCCCTTTACCGGACTCCGCCTCGTGACGCTGAGCTTAAATGATCATGTTTTCTAACGAGTCACAAGCGGTTCTGCATGACCTCAGCAATTCCGGTGGTGTCACGAACTACGAAAACATTTTAAAGCGTTCTGTCGTCGCTCGCCATTGCGCTGCTTCATTAATGGCCTTGGAAAATCACGTACCTTTATTGCTTGCTTCGGATTGCAGGCTAAGGATATTGCCACATTGGTGGAGTTTCCGATAAACAGGTCGGTCGAAGTGTCTAGGGCATAGTCGAAAAATCAGGGGCTCAGATTAATGCTCTAGGGTAGGTCCTGATCCGAAAGAATGCGCCGTAGTAAATTTTGGAAATGACCAGACACTATAACATATGTAACGGTGGATAGTGTGGCTTATGCAACTCGAAGGCCAGCAATTTCCTAGTAGCCCTCCATTCTGATCCGTCTTCAGTGAAGATAGCTTCGCCGAGTAGAGGCACGAAGCAGACACTTCGCAATGGTCCATGGCCAAATCTAGGAAATGGTTCGGATAAACGAAGAAATATTGCGCGAGTCTCTAGTAAAAATAGTAAATAATTCCCCAGAGTATTGTCCGTACGTATCACCGTATCGTTCGTAATGTTGGAGGGAGAGTACGGGGATCTTTCGGTTTTATTCGGCATCGAGTGTCTCGAGTAATTTGTCAATAGAAGGGGCGGGAGCTTCCAGGACGATAGCAGTATGTCGATCCGGCCACAGCCTCTGTCATCACCACGACAATGGCGCGATGGCTGCGGTCATGATTAGCGCAGCCTCAAGATTTTCCGCTTTTAGGGGGAATTGAGCTAAATACAAATAGCCACACATTGCGGCACAACCACCAGCAGCTCACCAGAAGAGACAGAAGACCGATAAGTTGACATGAGGCCATGAATGCCTGACTTTGGCCCATGGTTTTGCTTCGTGGTGGATGACCTGTGGTAGCTTGCCGATGCCTTGATGCGTTCTAGCTTCATCAATTCTCGGAAGAATTCCGACGTAGTGGGCCGCTGTTTGTTGCTCCATGTTGCTAGCGAAAATGTCAAACTATTGTGAGGAGGCTGCGATTGGTTACACCAGGTCTTTGTCCCCTGTTGCTGGGAATTGGGCGGGAGTACGGAGTACGGACTAATCTGACAACGGCTGAATGCGCCACTATCGGATTGATCCGACGTTCGCCCGGTTTAGGACACCGCCACCGCCGCCTGGAGAATCTTGGCACGCCGTGTGGTGGATGCAACATTGAATGTTCTTTCCACATGCTACGCTGCACACCGGAAAGTCAAGCCTGGCGCCACAAGTTGCCAATCCGATTTCGAGTGAACGAACATTCTTCGTCATCTTGACCCAGCCATATGGGCTTTGGCAATGCACAACGTAGGCTTTGGGCTTCCGTGCAGCCTCTGAGGAGGGTTGGGCTACTTCCATCCTGTCACAAGAAAGCCATCAGGCTTGACTGGGGTCGAGGTCAGACTTGACCGCATGCAAAAACTGGACGGGGAAGAAACGGGGGCTGCTTGCCGCCTCAATTTTAAATGTTAACTGCGCCCAGATACAAACAACTTTCACCATTCCCCAGCATCCATGTTCCTCGAGTAGCTCTACCGAGCATAACCCCAAGACTGCGAGTCCTTTCGATTTCGACGATATCATGGATTCCTTCTCTATTGCGGTTGGAACTGCGGGCCTGGCAGATGTATCCTTCCGCATTCTCTCATATTTGGCGGATATGAAAAAAGCTTCCAGCAAGATCCAGGATGCAATTACCATCTTGAGCCAGAAAACTGAATCCCTCCTAGCCGTCAATGATTCGGTCGAGTACTTTCCCCATCCCAGACGTGACTTGGGCAATTTTGATGCACCACTGGACCATGAATCTGATGTTGACAAAGTTTGGAAATTTTGGCATTGATCTTACAGCAGAGCAAGCACACCATTGAGCAGCTCGAGACACTATTGCATGAAATCGTCGGGACTCGCGTAACTGGGAAAATCAACGGCCCCCGAAAGACAATCCAGATACCAGGTCGAGATGGCGAGTACATGCAAATACATCAGCGCCTAAATGCTAAACTACACGTCAAGATGAGCAGGTTTCGCCAGGAACTCTGAGAGTCCGTCGATTCTGAGGATATACGTTATTATTCAATTTCACACAAACCATACGCGCTCATTGTTGCAAGCTTTACGGCTCCCTCGTTTCCGCAGATGCTGCGGCGTCATTCATTAGGTTCAATGAGTACTTAAACATGCCCCAAAACTTCGGCAGTTATTACACGGGCCGGCTAGCGCATATGAACGAATTGGCATCTATCTTCAACATCACTCAGTCGCGCCAACGCCACACTCACTCGAAACCGAAGAGTATCCCGTGGCCGCGACAATGAGTACGCGTCAAGCATGAGCGTGTATTCTTCCTATGAGACGATCTATGTTGGCCTCGAAAATAAGAATGACCAACGGTCAATGGATGCACTTGAACTGTCGAAGATGTTCTCGTTCTTCTACCGCGAGAACGTCGAGTTTGATCTAATCAAAAGTACGGCCACGAACCCCCGGCAAGAACGAGAAGACGCCCAGGCGAAGGAGCAAGCCGCCAAGCATGTGCTCGTATATTCTAGATCCAGGACATGGAAGACGGTGTTTCGCGACTGGGTTATTGCTCGCGCAGAGCAATGTACTAGACCTAGGACTGTTCTTCCGGACGTTATGAGGGATGAAGCAGACACACCATTTGATGAAGACCGGTTGCGAAGGACGCTGTCTCTTGTGGTTCGACTTGGCATAGTAATAGTTACTGGGTCCATCCGTTAGTGTATACATGGATGCGGCAAAGGCCTGGTACCAGTACACATCAGCTGAGCAAGCCATTTAGTGTCAGGCAGCGGCCACGGTACTGGTGCAATCCATATCCTTCCAGGCCCCGCGCGGATACATGGCTCGGAACGAAAGGTTAAAAGACAGATCCATCTGCATAATGAGCATGTACTCAGGTTACAGGAAGCAATTACGCAACGTTTGGAGGGAAAACAGAGAACCCTCAGTCAACCTTGGGCATTGACGTGGCTTATACCTCGGCAGGGCTTTCGAAGCTTCCAGACGGCTGAATATGCCAAGTTCAGTCTGCACCTGCACTGTGGTTATTATGCCAAGGCTGAGGAGCTTCAGGTGCAAGTGAAGGATTATATCCTCGCAAACCTAGGCCCCGAGTTCATTGAGTACAAATTGACACCTTTCTTTCGTTGTCTCATAATCTTGTCTTGCAGGCGCGGAACAATGAGTCTCAAATGTTACAATACCAAGCCGTCCAGTCGACCAAAAAATACTACGGTCCAGATCATCCTTCAACTTTGCAGGTCATGGGTGTTCTTGACGCCACTTGCCTAATGTGCAGTCGATTGGCAGAAGCTAATCAATTGCCTAAACAAGGCCTAGCGAAACTGTTGAATGGCTTTGGCCCTGAACACGAGAACACATGGACCGACAGCTGCGGATAACCTTTCCAAGCTTAAGCACCGCCATTTTGACAATGGCTCTCAGAGGCGTTCCAGCTGCGATTGCGAGCTTGTGAGGGGCTGCAGAGGATCTTGGTCCGACGCATCAAAAAACTTGAGAAGCCAAAGATAATCTTGCTGGAATCTACAGCTTCATTAGTGAGGAGCATCTACCGCGTCCCCATCAGATGAGTGACGGGGTTGTGCAAATTGGCGTCAGAGAACTTGGACGTGAGCACCTGTTTACTCTCAAATCCAAGCTGACGCTGGGAAGGATCAAGACTGCCATGAATCAGTTCGAAGAGGTCGAAGAGATTTTTCTAGATGGTTTGCCAGTCGCTGAAGGGAACCTGGGCGAGCACCATCTAGGAACGCTCACGGCTCGAACCGGGCTTGCGCATCTTGACTGGCGCCAAGGACGATATTCGCACGCTGCGGCCATATTGGAGGATGTCATCCAAAAGCGCGATTATGAACAATCCAAGCGCACGGATGGGAAACTTACAGATCGCAGGAAGTGGGATGTCCATGTTCACAGTTTATTTTACTTACTGTATTCGATTCAAATCGGATATTATTTTGTCCAAGAGACTCAGCTAAGACGAAGTTACGCATTCTATGCGAAGCAATGTGGTTCCTGGCCCACTGCTGCGAGGACCAGGGGAAAATGAACGATGCCCTGAGGGTGTGTGAGCAAATTACCAAGCTTCGTAGTTTTAGCAGTAAGGGGCGAGGGCAGCATCACAAACTCTGGCATTCTGTGGCACAAAAGACGGAAGAATTACCAGCGGAGAAGCTATTCAAGGCTGGAGAATATCTCCCAGGAGATGAAACATAGCCAGAAGCGGTAATCGGAGTTGCCAGCCTGAGGAAAGCCAAAAACAGACAGCACTCTGCACAGGGGTGGCTCGGAGAGCTACTTAGTTTCAAGGGATACTAGCATCTCGGTCTCACAAAAGTGTCTCTGGCGTGTCCTAAAGAGCAAAGTCTCACGAGCCCAAGACTGCGCAGTCTTCTAGAAGCCCGAACTGGTCACGGCAATTTCGACAAATATCACCAAAAATTTAAACACAAGGACAACCCACGCGCTCCTACCAAGGGCTCCATACGCGTGAACACATAGTGCTCTGCCCGAAGTCTGGGCGACTAGAAGACCACATGAATGACCACATGTGCAGTGTTCAAGCCCAAAACACAAAGCATCAGGTACTACCTGCTACGCCTGATAACAAGTCCACCAAACTATGATGCCCACACGAGCAGCCGCGCGATTATGCAACCTACGCAGTCCCCCTCCGTTCCCTACATTTTCCATTTCTTACGTTATAATATCATCATAAGATGCATTAGCAGCTGATCCGCAGTGAAATGTACATTAACTCCACTGAGCACGAGCTCGAATGAAGGAGCCAACGGTAGCAGTTATGAAACTTACCTTGCCGTCAGGCCAGATACCTGGGATGTTCTACGATATCTTACCTGTAGCGTAGATACTAGATAGTCTTCCGCGCGCCATATGCCCTATGGGAGGCGGCAGCGCGAGCGCTCCTATGGCGTTCAGATTATCTTTCATTCATTCTCGCCTGTCTCCATCACTTGCACCCCCAGCTCTGCCGCCCAAGAACCTTGATGCGGGTCGTGATATCTCGAAAACTCTGCTCAAGCCGAGCAATCTTGCTAGCATAGACCCAGAAGTCTCATGTCCCTAAAGATTACTCTCAGTTTCAGTGTGCGTACTCAATGGCTAGCTGCGACTTGCTTCATGCAGACTTTCTTCCTATGAGTGACTAACGTGTTGGGTAATAGACCTATCCAACATCACTCAGGCCGAGAAGCGAAGTTTGCAACCCTAGCCAGCCATAGCTTTCTTCGATCTGGTGGAGTATTTTCTCTCGTTTCACGATGTCTTTTGTAGCGTAGGAGCGGGATCACGATTAACGGGTTTCGCGGCGTCTCTGGTCGCTCCGTTCGTTGGTCAGTCATTGAGGCATGAAGTCAGTGCCTGTGATGGGCACAACGAGTGCTGCGTTGACGACTGCTTGCTTGCGTTCAAGCTCCCCTGGGCTGAGGATGGCCCTGCTAATTGCAGTCCGTGGCGGGATTCCTCAAATCTAAGGTTCCGATGTTTGCTGGGTTATGTTGTCATGAGCAAAACGGTCGTTCGGTACAGCTAGGGGCGACAGTGCCCAAACGACTTCGAGGCAAAGGATACGATCGAAAACAAGCAATGGCGAGCTAGCAAGGACATTCGAGGTTTTCTAGCGAGCGTCGAGACGAGTCTGGGGCAGAGGTTTGCACATGCAAGCAAAAGCTGTGGCCACGCGAAAGAGGAGCCCAGATGGGATTGGCTTCGCACGTGGGGGCGTGTAACCATGATCGATGGCACTTGACGCCATTTCAGCTGGTGCCTGTTGTTGGAAGGCACTGGGTGTGGGGGCGCTAGCACGTCTAGCGGTACCTGGGTACAACTCAAGTGCTACAACCCCACTGTAGCAAGCAGGCACAGACCTGCAACCACATCAATCAATCCCGAAACATGTCGTGCCTGCCAACTTTGTTCCCGCACACACGAAGCACTCGAATATGCTCATGACCAAATGCAAGCCCACAACGCCTTGTGACATCAATGTCTTCTGCAGACCAGCCTCATACTAGCATCAAAACCCGTGCACAACGAATGCGCAGAGTCGCCGATGCCCTCCTCAAAGCCCATCAAGCCAGGACCTCCTCAGCAATACCAAGGACAACGCCAAAGACATGTTCCATTCGCATAGTCTGTATTTCTGACACACACAACAAGCAGCCAACAGTGCCTTTGGGAGATGTTTTAATTCACGCCGGCGACCTAACAGAACACGGATCATTTGAGGAGGTGCAGAATGGCCTGACGTGGCTTTCATCGCAGCCGCACAAGTACAAAATTTTTGTTGCAGGCAATCATGACGTCCTGTTAGACGACGCGTTACTTGAAAAGTATCCCGAAAGACGCTATGGCCAGAGTAAGACTAAGAAAGACCTGACCTGGGGAAGTGTAATTTATCTGCAGGATTCCTTCGTCACTCTCGAAATCCCCACGAGCCAGCAAGAGCAAGAAACACGCACAGATCAAGTCATTGAAGGGCAACCCGGCATGAGAAGCATCACAATTTTTGGAAGTCCATGGACGCCCCGGTACGGAATATCGGCTTTCCAATACCACCCGTACAATTCTCAACATTGGAAGGATGCATTCGCCTCCCTAGATGAGAAGCCGCACATTGTCGTCACCCATGGCCCGCCGCACCTTCACCTCGATAGACGTGACTTCCACCGTGCCGGGTGTCCATACCTAGCAGAGGAACTTCACCGCATGCGGCCTCGTCTTCATGTATTCGGCCATATCCACGCGTCGTATGGGCGTGAGGATGTGATGCTAGACAGCGTGCAGAGAACGTATGAAGAGGTGATGAGGGGGTGGGCGGGTTGGGGTGGCATCGCATGGATGGCTATCATGGTTTTATGCGCCAGAGTGAAGTATATTTTCAAAGAACCAAACGCGGATAAGAACGTAACTTTCGTCAACGCTGCGGTTGTGGGGGGGCCTCAGAATGAACTACAAAATACACCAATTACTATAGATATTTAGTGTGTTGTATGAGCTAGTATATGAGGCCGAAGCCTGTTATTTCATGGATATAAATCTGCCCAAGACATATAATTCACGGCGCCTTACCAATACACTGAGTGGAGTGGCTTTCACACTGTATAAAGCAGACAAGTTTACGGACTTGACGACCGTCCAGCTCGTCATTATGCCCTGTTGGCTGGGTGGGTGGTCGGCAGGAAAAAGCCCAGCCGTTGTAAACATGCCGTGACAATCGGGGCATGTTAGTCATAGAGTCCGCTCGATGGAACGTACGGGGTCTTATTGCTACAGAATCGGGGTGCTTCTTTCCACGTTTTATGATAACCCTAACCCTCCTATCTGGTCCCGACCGTAACAGATTACCTCCCTGGCTGAATACATTTTATTTTCTTACTTTCGCTTGCCGTCGTCTTATTTAAGACGTTTTCACTCTGTTGTCTATTTTTGCATACCTACTGTTTGTGGAATTTAAGTATTCGGCTATCCAGCGGCGTGGATTGAGTCCAGGCCCTCCAACGTGGGTTCAAGATTCGAGGACTATGCGCCTTGACACACCCCTAGCGGAGCGACAATTCAGATCGGCCCGTCCCTAGCGCTATTTCAAGATTGAGGGGTACTTTGGCATCTCGGCATCTTGTCTTGCGATGCTTGGTTCCGAGAATCTGAAGCATCACCACGAATGCTGATCACGGACTGCCCTAGCGTATCAATGCTAAAACTAGGCAACATTGAATTTGCCAGCAACCACCGGCTATTACCACCGGCATCCGTGACGGTGAGTATTCCTGTCCAGGTGTATCCTATTGATTGTGTCTGGCAGGTCGAGATCTTGTATCAGCTCTCCCTTCTTCAAACATGCTTTGATGCCCGATGCCTCTTCCGACTCCATATCGTGATCTAATGTGAAAACAAGCTGGCTAGGGGGCTATGTATTATCTTAAGTCATGCATTTGTGAGGTTGCGACGAGAGGCGAGGTGAAATTGTTGTTGAGTATTAATTGATGCATCATGCAACTTTTTATTTCCTTACGGATGCCGACCTCCTATGCGGGTTTTCCAATTGGCCAGGTGAATCTATGTAGTGGGTCCAGGATGTTGATGCTCAATGCTTGGCATGACCCGCCACCGATTGAGTCTAGACTTCAGAGATCAAACAACAATCGAGTCAGACGCCATCCGGCAGGCCAGACATTTGATGGCCCAGAATGCTGGCAGACTAAGCCTGTATGCTGAATCAGTCTTCAAACCCATCTGTGAGGAACTGGAGCCCTCCAACTGGCGGATACGATTGCCGTCGTACATCTCAAAACGCGTCCGCCACCGATCCGTGTCATGAGAAGTTCCGCCATATCTATGAGGATAGGCCGCGCCTAAGTTAAAAAGTACTTGAAGACGTCGATTTCTGTGTGGAGAGTTACCTTATGTAAGTGAAGAAAAGGTCTTGGTTTCGTGTAGTACTGTATTTAACTTTATTTCTTCTCCAAGATAAGCTACCCTGTAGCTCTTTCCAGTCGTTCATCTTTTATGCGAGTTGTTCAGTCTTGGCCAACCATCTTTCTTCCTCTTACACGCCCAAGTTTCGGAGAATTGAAAAGAAAAAGACGTGCCTCGGAATTTCAACCCTCGTTTAAGCCCAGCTGGAATGAGAACATGGCACTTTAGCCGCAGATTCTTGTACGAGGGTATGTAAATTTTAGCGAACGCTAGGTAAGATCGGCACCCTCGCCCGCGCAGCAGTCAGCGCTTGTGCAAATCTAAAGAGGGGTCAAAATGCGGGCAATCAATAAAGCTTGGCAATCGCTTATGCATGTAGATGTGCCGTGGGCGCCGAAACTGTCGTTGGGCCCAATCAAGCTCGTCCATCAGGTCACACAGCATCACAAGAAGACATGTTGAGCTGAAGATTGCTTGATGCTCGACGTCAAATCAAGGGCCCCCTTGCTGGGCTTCTCGCGCGAGATGCGACTGTCGTGGATCCTTTATTCCCGATCCGCAGTACACCCGGGCTCTACTCTTGACATTACTACTCCGTACCTAGGAACGTATACGGTGCTTGGCATACGGGCATTCTTTGTAGGCTTTGATCGCTTTTTGCCTCCATCTGTAGATGACTCCATCTAGTACTGTGCTAATGCAATGTTACATGCAGCCACATGGCTTGCCCAGCAAACACCAACCCCAGCTGTTTTCGGGTTTGTCCGTCTTGTGGAGCAAAACCGTTGCGGCTTACCCGATCACCCGCCAGATCTGCACTTGAGCTGTCATCGGTGTAAATCTAACGACTTGCATATGTAATGCCGGGATTGAGGCTGTGGTCGTATGAGGACGCGGCAATCGCTGCGGCCGCATCTACAACACCGGCGTTAGCAGCTCAAGTGTTGGTACGAATGTCGAGTCTGAAAGCCCAATGGTTGACGCAATGGTTCCGAGTGGCTTGGTGGCAAAAGCAAACCTTCCTCATTCTAGTCTGCGTGCAGCTATGCATCGCACCGTTTGGAATATTTCGCGACTTGGAAACGAAGATTACGGTTCTAGCAGCGGCATCGCCATGGAAATTCACATACAACAACATAAATGCGATATTTCACTAGTCTTGTGATGGAGACTACCTATGGGCAGGGCTTAGGTATGCCGATACAAGGGTTCATCTACTCAAGGTTCGTTTTGAGTTTCCATTCGCGCTAGTTACCATTGTCTTCAACTTGAGGAGAGCTCTAAGCCTTGTTATTATGTTACGATCCATAGGCTCAAGTAGCTGTTAATATCACACTTGAACTATAGACGATGGCTGTTACACTGGCAGCAGGGCTTGTTACATTCCCAACTCGGATGACTGGGCCGTGGGTGCAAGTTGGTCGCTGCTAACTCTATTAGGAAACTAGTAAAATCATTTCTCTTTTTTTATGCAGATTACATCTGCCAGATAAATTAACCGGGGTTCATAGGTAGCCTACATATCTCCGAACCTCCACATTCTCCACCGCCATCAAGATTTTCTTTTAAGTAAACCGTTCATGTAGGGCTGGTATTAAGTTCAGGAGAGTGTCTGTGAGTAAACCATGACAGTCATGTATATTATTAACGTCAGAAACAATAAATCCAGGGCGGAGAAGAAACCCTCGGATATCAGAGATAGTACCGTTGTCTCGGTGAAAAAGGTGAGACCATATCAACATGAGGAAACTAATGAAATGCTTCAATGCGCACGTGCTGCTCTTCAGTACTGAATTGAAAAAGGAGGCAACATGGCATTGCTTTTGTAGCCCGGGCGGCTCCGCCGGTGAATTTGATGACCACGTCACGCCGCGTCCTCATGTTACTTCCTTGCCGCTGTGGAGACGGTTCGTGTCCTCCGGGCCGACGAATACCAAAAAGTCATGATTGCATTTAAGAATACTATTCCCGTAAAAGGGTCTTGCATAATGTCGGCCGCTTTTGTCCCATCCCCTCCGTTTCGGCATTTCGTCATCTTGCCATTAGCCGCACCGAGTCCGTCATCAATGTCTCCGTATTTAAGGTTCTCGCAAGCCGAGGGTTTCTACATTTTCAAATCCATTACGGCATGAGATAATTCGGGTTTGCAATCGTGCGTAATACTTGCTTCTGGAGCGTGCTCTTTGTTTCTATCCGTGATGGACTCGTCCCTGGAGCAGCTGCTAACTCCTTGCACCCCGAACCTAGACAATTTATGTCTCTTTATCGACGCCATAAAGTCCTTGCTTGACGAACGCGATGTCACGGTTATTTCTACCCTGGCTAGCCGATTGAGGCCCTTTCGAATTGACCTAAGGGGAGAGGCCATTGAGGACACTTCGTCGGCTAAACCAATACTCGTTCTTGATTCCGACCAATCAACATGGTGAGCTTCAGTATTTCGACATGGTGTAGGCTAGAGGGCTACAAACTAAATCATGGTTCCTAAAAGTAGTGATACAGCATCAGAACATTCCGTTCAGCGGTATTTGAGTCCGGAATTGTCCATACTATCCCAGAATCAGCAGGCCGCCGGATTGACGGAGGCACCCAATGCGCCAATCATCTTCCCAACAGACTCGACACAACTCGCAGACGTTGAGTCCCTGGCGATCCCGGACGAAGAACTGTCTAAATACATGGAGATTGCAAGGTGGAATAACGTCAGTCATGCTCAGGACATGGACTGTACCGAAGACAACGGCTTTTCGGGAGAAGGCTTCAACACAGTCGGGGTGGACTCATTTCTGGTGTGATATAAGGCCCAAGATTGCATTTTACACAAACAAAGCTAACGTAGTATCTTGAAAGGTGGGCGTTCATGGCCTTGAGTCAACCGGCTCTCTCCAACTGGGTAGTACTGGCATGTTCTTCGACGACTCTAGTATGTCTTATGATAGTATGTGCATGATCCGAGAACTTTATCGTGGATGAGACGTGACTAATATCGATTACAGCCGCAGTTAGCACGAGCTCTTCGAATGCTTCCATGGTACTTCCCAACGTGGAGACGATACCCCATGAAAATGATGAGCGACCGACAGGCAGCGATGTGAATGAATATGCTGGCGAATATTATGTCGAGTCGCCGAATACTTTGCCTACCTGCCCACCTGTCAGCTATACAGAGAACACCACTCACAGGGAACTGACTCAACTGAGTGAATCCTCATCCTCTTCATTCAATGGAAGCTGGCAGGCGACGGAAGAGATGGAGTCGCGCAGCTCACGGAACACTTCACCAGCCCAGTCTGTTTCACAGACGACCTGGCCTTTTGGTACCGCAAACTCCGACAGCAATGATGGACAAGCCGTCGTCGATTGCACGGAAGGCACCCTGTCCGACGCAGCTATGCAAAAGGTCATCTCGGCAGCCCGTACGTGCATTCGATCAGACTACCTTTCTCTCCTGGAAATGAACCTCCAGCGCTGGGCCACAGATGGTTTATGGCACAAAACAGTGCCGCCGCCCTACCAAAGAGCCAGTCGCTGCGAATATGAAAAGCTACAAAAAGCGTACTCGTGTCTCTGTCGCCTCGATATGCGGATGAAGGATGACGCCATTCGGAGCAGGATGGCCATGGTCCTGCTCCACCTGGAGTATGAAAATACCTATGTCAAATGGAAAAGAGGAGCTGCCGGCGGCATCAAGCCGATGACAGTGGGCAGGGGCACAATCAGCTCCATGATTGATGATATTCTGGAAAACACACACCCGCAATGGAAGACGGCCGGCTCCCGGGAGAAGTCGCAGCTGCGGGCCGATTTCCACGAACGTAAACGATTCGGGAAGAGGTGGTGGATACTCATAAACGCAATCGGACCGAGCATCTTGATGCTTTGTTCGTCAAAGTTTGCCGCGATAATGTAAGGTTGCCGCATTCCATCCCATCTCTTGCGCGTGGAGCACTAACATGGTTGGGAAGCAAAAACACCACCGTCACGACTAGAATGCTCGAGGCAATAGGTGCTGTTACTCGAGAAACGGTGCCGCATGTCATTGACATTCTGGAGCTACTGAATCCGATTGCCGAGAGCCTGATTCGTGATCGCGGTCATAAGCGCCACGACGTGACGAAGCTTCTGAAGGAGGCACGGGCTTTCGACAAGCGTTTCGGGGATTTAATTAAGGGGGATAAGAGTAATTAATGGCGAAATGTGCATGTTTGATGAAATACTGTTGGGAAATACATTAGAATAGAGGAATGTGTCGGTACAGAACTTGGCACTATACCATGGCAATTTTGGAGTAAGGACTTGTAGCTAACGATGTACGAGTATAAGGAAAAGATGGATAACCCATCGGATCGTGAGTATTTTTTGTTTCAAAGATCGCTAGCAAGAAAGAGATTTCTAGATGCTTTTTATTGTAGCAAGGCTATAACTACAGCCCCAGATAGAATGCTATACTCTAAGTTTTGGAAGATTAGAAGAGGGGGAGGCAGCCAAAGCCTGTCCAGGCCTCACGAGAGTAACTATTGTCTGATATTGTGGCAATCCACTAGCATTGTCAACGCTGAATTTCTTATTACTTCGATACAATATCTGCCGGGTCCTCAGGGGTTGAAGCTGTTCCGTTGCACAAAGCAACCCCCGAACGACTCGAAAAGGAGTTCTTTCCTCCACGTCCGGATCCGGAACTGGCGCCAGAGCAGTTTAAGCTGTGGCAAAAGATCCTGCGCCGAAAACCAAAGCGACCCCCCCCAAAACACTCTCCAAAACTCGGAAAAGGCCTAGACGAGATCAGAAATTGGTCTGGCGCTATCCTGCCTGCTCGTGATCAGGATACTGGTAGCCTTCTGAATGCTACCACCAGACCATCTCCATTCAACTTAGTCAGGGGTTCGTGGGTACTTCCCAACCCCCAACCCTTGATGAAAGACCAGTCTTACGTGAACGACAACTACCGGCTTTATTCTTACATAGGGCTCGACGGATAGCAGAACAAAGTCTCTCTCAAGGTTGGAGTGGAGTCTGGGATTAAGGTCTGAGAGGGCAAGATCACAAATATATTCCATCATGCCGCAATTCTGTTCCGCGGCCCGAAGAAGGAGCCTATGTCGTACTATAAGTTCAATGAAGACTTTGTCGAGTCCGGCGACCTTATTACTGCCTACGTATGGTGTATGCGGGACGGAACAATTGGCAAGGCCACCCTCTTCAACGAAGCAAAGAACATTTACGACAGTGGCGAGGTAACGGCCCCCGAGCCTGGTATTTTACCCAATGGTGAATATAGAATAGCTTCGGCCACCGCCGTAGCTCGCGATATGTTTCACACCTTCCCTAATATTCGGATTGGCCTATTAGTTGGGTATCGGCGGCGGAGCTTCGAGCGAAAACCACGATATTCGTTTAGGGGATGTTGTAGTCAGTACACCATGTGGAAAGGAGGGTGGCGTGATTCAGTACGACTTTGGCAAAGCAGTGCAGAATAGAAGCTTCCAGTATACGAAGCTTTTAGATCAACCTCCAACTGCACTACGGACTGCCCTTAACGGAATTAAGGCACAGTATAAGAGAAAAGGCCACCGGCTTCAAGAAGAAATAGAAATCGCTCTTTGCAATAACCCCAGATTACGGAAGAGGTATGAGCGGCCGGACGTAGGCATAGATACGCTCTTTAAAGCCTATACAACCCACGACTCTAGCTGCACAACACTATGCAGTGATGACCCGGACAACTTGGTATCGCGACCGATGAGGGAACAAGATGAGGATAATATAGTCGAGGCCCATCGTTGGACTGTTGGTTCCGTTCTAGGGACCTTACTTGACTGTCGCTCGAACACTACCCAAGCGAGGGTGACCGCAGCATGGTCTGTCCGGACTTCAGCCGCTTAACTTGTTGACGAAATATCCCGGTTGAGTTGTCTGTAAGATACAGCCCCTATGAGAGACAGGTAATGTCTCTGGACATTGGGCAAGCGGCAGGTAAGGAACTTAAGACATACTAGCTGTTCCAGGCGGAGCATCGGGCTGATACGTTTACTCCAGCCTGGATCTATTCGCGATGTACATCTGCATACTATCCTGTTACGAAAATGCTAGAATGGGAGGGTGAATCTCAACGATGCCAAAAGGATAGGAGCTTGGCACATAGTTCTAAGTTTTGCTGCTACTGCAGCACGAGCGGACGTGGTGATAACAATACAGATGTGGGCATCTGGATTATACCCTGGAGGTCTGGACAGCCTCGACAAGCCGATACAAATAACTTAGCAACTCTTGCCACTTAGTAACGCGTTACTTCAAGCGCCTGATAGATCACGGAATATATCAAAGCAACACGCCATGGAACGAAGTAGCCATATATGTGATTACGCGCTATGGTGAATAGACTCGCGCGGACATGTATTTTGCATAATACTGTTTAGAGTTAAGTTTACACAAACGAGAGCCCATGTGGACGCCACATTGTTCAGTTTCGTGGTTAAAGTTTTTTGAAACTTTTGTGCAGACACGCCTTTGGTGGGCTAGGGCTGGGTTCTAACCAATACGAAGTGGTAAAAGCGCGAGGTCCCTTAGGCATCAGCGTCTGTATTAATTTAATGTAGCATCCCTATTAATTCCTAGAAAGTTTGCCGACACTTAGGTTTAGCGTAAAAAAGATATATTTCTCAGCTTCTGCAACCCTTGCGTTACTTGCTTTATATTATCAGCTGCCCTTCCGCTGCCCAGATTCTACCCTACCTTTGTCAATACTGCTTCTGATACCTCAATGTCCTTACAGGTTTACACACTTAATTGTTCATTCCTCCTCTTTGATTTAATTCCAGAACAGGATGACGAAAACCACAGATTGGATAGGTATTGCACTTGGTATTCTTGGTGTCATCACTGTAGTTATTGGCGTGCAGACCTGGTGCGCTAACTTGAGGAAAAAGCGCGGTGGCGAAGATGTCGGGTCTATTTGCCTAAATAAAAGATTGATGGGGTTGTTCAAGGCAAAAGAGCCATGGGGATGGTTAATGGGACGAGAGGTGAGAATACTGGAGTTGCCGACATTATACGGTGTCTTGAGAGCTGGAGAAGCCAATAAGTGGACGTCGGCACTCGTGGAGGGAATATACGATAACCTTGACGATGAAGTCTGCTGGAAGCAGCTTTACGAGCAATTCTTCTTACACCTGGCGTGGAAGGAGCCTTCCGCTATCAAAGATGCCCGCCTCGGAATAATTATGAATAGAGCAAGTACCATTATACAAGGTGAAAAGAAGAAAGCCATGAAAACACCATCTATTCTCGATCTTGAAATTAAAATCGACCAGTCATCTCTAAAAAAAAGGTGGTGTCTGTTTTGGTTGCGTTACCTTATCAAAAAGTTCGTGCTCTGCATTGTCAGAAAGTGCCAGCTTTGGTGTTGCGAAAAGCGTTGCGGACACTACGAATATCATCGATCGCACAATCGAAAACTTCTGTACGAGAAAATCCTAGATCGCGCGCCTGTACTACAGGATTGCGTGAGGTTGCTGGAGAAAAGCGACGGCGCATCAGTCATTGAAGACCCTCTCTATGGCTACGAATCGATCTGGGATCGGCATCTACGTCCCATTTGGATTCTTGGCAAACGTCCATGTTTACCCGTGTCAACTGAGCAGTTGGTGGGCTTCTGCTTGGCCTTTGGAATAAATCTGAGACGCCGGGACAAAGATAAATTTTATGGAAGTGGTGCTTACGGTCTTATGGTCAATGTGTCTAGCCAAGACGACTATCTTAGGGTTCACGTTACGCATCCCAGGAGAGGTCCGAGATTGCAGGCTTCGAAGGGCAACGGTTACTCCATTCTATTTGCTAAGCTGATGGCTTGCGGTTGCCTTCCATTCGCGCGAAAGCCAGGCTTAACCAAGAGCATCCAGGTTAATCAAGACATTCACAACGCTATTCGATGGGGATTGAGCATCAAAGATACCAGAGACTACCCGACGGCGCCCTCCATCAACTTTCTCGGAGACCTTCCTGGCCAGACAAATGACGACTACTATTGTGTCCCAGGCCTCATCGTGCATTTTACATATGGCCATATTTGCGATTCTCATGACAATCCCCTGGAACCTGGTGACCCTGATCGCTGGACTTGGGCTAAAGCTGTCGCCGGGATCGCTTTTGGCGGCTTTATTCCTCAAGCTACTCGAAACCTTGTCTCTGCAGTACAATTCACTGTCCTTGGGGCAGATATTATTGGCGGTACACCAAAAGAGCTCATGGAAGATATTGAGATATTGATCAATAAGGTGCATACATGGGACGAAAAATACGAGCTTTTTGGAACGTACATCGCAAGACGCCAGATTGCCGCAAATGCTCAAAATATTACCTACGTTTTTGATCCCTGTGATATTGCGGATGCGGTGGCGATTTTCAGTCGTTATGCAACGCTTCTCGAACGGTTTCTTGGCATCATAGCGGAAAGGGAAGGGACAACCACAAACTACAAAGACAGAGTATACAGTGCACTTAGCTGCAAGCTGAAGAAATCCTACAGACAAGCAGTTCACCAATACACGGGACGTTATCCAGCGATCAGGCTGCTGAAAGGGACCCTTCTGGATGAAGTAAAGGAATTGGGGAAATTCAGGGACGCCAAGATTACAACTGCCTCACGAATCGATAGCTGCGCAGTGCTCGCCCGTATTCTCATCCTAGCTTGGACTTACCAGGTCAACCTCGTCAGGTGGAGAGGAGAAACGGAGTCACAAGCTGACTTTTACTCTATTGCAAAAAACCAGGGTTTCAGACTTCTAACGGCGAGGGGCATTCAAAATTCTAACAAGCTGGGTGTATTAGGACTGTAACATCGTAGCAGTCCGCATTTCAGACCTACGGCGTAGTCTAGCATTGTTTTACCCCGATTTAAAGTTTTGCTCAAGCCCGCCTTCGTTACAGAATACACTATTGAGCGCTAGATGACCCGACAGATGTAATAGCACTTAATAGAAGGCTAGGGTTTTCTGTTAGCCACGAGTGTGTGTCCGTAGAATTGCAATGCGCCTCAGACCTAGCATATGTAAAGTTGTTTTGCAACGTCTGTTCCTGGGTAGAGAAAAGCCTATAGTGCCGAGACGAATCTATCGTTTGAAGGTCTCAAAATTCTCTCACGCGAGCATATAGAGTAACTGTTAGCGTTCTTCGGCTGCTTTACTATAGGGATTCGGTTTGTAGTAAGAAAATACCGCTCTTGTGGTTAAGCTGTCGATTGTCCTGTTAAAATGCTTTCGATATTTCGTCTCTTATTATAACTATCGACCTACTTGGTGACGTGCAATGCAAGCATTTTGTTACGCTGCTCGGTTTATAGTGTAAATAAATTATGTATTATAATTTTTAAAAATTAAAACAGAAAATTATCTCGTTTTATTATAAAAGGTAACAATTTTATAATTTAATATTATTTTAAAAATATACTAGGTACTTATTATATAATAGTAGTATAATACTAGCACCCCCATTATTTTACTAGAGGCCCTACTACTATGCCTTTACAAGGTTTTTATTACCCCCGGGAATAATTATATCTGGTCAATATTATTAGGATTTTCCCTGTACTGTAATACGAATACACAGGCATGAAGGCCTTGGTCCTAGTAACTTGACAAGATACATGTGAACATGATGCACAGGACAAGTAAATCGGCTGGATACCTACGTGCCGCCACATGTATTTTACCCGGAGCGATTATCTCGGCTGTTTGCTTACAATCTCGCATGCGTATGACGTCGATACCCTGAATATCACGTATCAATGTCCATTAAAGACCGAATTTCGGAACAGGGAACCTAACAGAGCGTTTAAATCATCAACGAAAGAGAGCCTCTCCTAATGTAAAACCTGTATATATAGTCAGCAACTGACTACCCTCGTCTTGTTGCCTCATCCACTGCAATTACTTTCAAACACACCCAAATTTTCGTTCAAAATGGACAAGATAGTCCCACAGACAGATGGAATCTTTAATGATTTCAAAATTATTGACGAACCGTATGATGGCACCTGTTATTCCGAAACTCTTCATGCTGACCAGTCCACAGATTTGTAACACGAGACAATCACCCAATTTTGGCGCACATACTGCTTCCCAAAGACGCTCCTTCGAAGCCTAGTCCAGTAATAATAAATTGGCATGGCGGGTATCTAGTCGCAGGGCATGGCTTGTTCGCCCTCTTTTTCCCACCCCTGCTACTCCAGCTTGCAAAGAAACATTCAGCCATCATCGTGTCACCCGACCATACTCTACTCCCTCACAAGGATGGCCTTGTAGCTGTTCAGGAAGACGCCGAGGCTTTCCATGAGTGGCTGCACTCCTCATTCCCCAAGGTACTGGCTGAGAGGGCGCCAGGCTTCCAAGTCGATTTGTCGCGGATGCTGCTCCATGGAGGCTCCTCGGGCGCGTACATCGCCCTGTCTTCTGCTCTGGCTCACCCAGACTCCTACCGGTCCCTCAGTCTCATGTATCCGATGATTGATTTCGACACCGACTGGTGGCGCCGAGGCAGTCGAGCTGTCGGTGCGCCAAACCCAGGCTGCTTGCCGGATGCCGCGTTCCCTGCAGATGACAATACTGTCAAGGAACAGTTTGAGAAATTTATGCAGGAACCGATCGTCACGATGCCTGGAGCTGAGCGTGATGGCTTCGGGGCATGGGTTGCACGTGCTGGCTTGTTCCCGGAGTTGTTCAATCCCGGAGGCAAGCTAGATGATCATGCGACTGTCTGGTTGAACCGTCGTGTTGAGCAAGGTGCCAAGCTTCCAGAGCGCATCTGGGTGTTGCACGCCGATAAGGATACTGTCGTGCCTATTGAAACTTCGCTCACTTTTCAGGAGACAATGAAACAGCAACAGCGGCCGGTGCGGCTAGACATTGTTAAGGGCCTGGATCATTGCTGCGATATGGCCATTACGGAGGACTGGAAGGGCTCGCAGGATCCTGTTATACTTGAGGCTGCGGACTGGTTGGTCGAGAAATGGCTGGAATAACTTGAGAACCTAAACACAATGCCTCCTGAGATGGCATCTAGAGACAGTTATCCACTTACACAATACATTCTCATCAAAGGATATCCAGAAACATTCCCCAAAAAAGAGCTATGCAGCTCGTCAGCTTTTTCGAACCTGGTCAAAACTGAAGTGTCTATTTTTCCATGTAGTCATGCCGGCTGTAAGACCTTACCAGGGAGGAAGTTTCCGACCTTTGAACGAATGGTGGGAAACTGAAAACTGGAAAACTTAGTATAGGAAGAAAGTTGCTGTTGCGATATCTTGATATATCGATGCACCCTGACAAAAAAGCATCCGTATCTCACCAATCTACCAGAAGCATACCTCGATGGTCTCAACTTAGCAGCGCAATTTGCTATGGAGTGTATGTCAGATTCTGCCAACATAATGATGCATCACGGCGAGCTTGACGGCGTTTTTGGAGCGGGATGGACATGACCGCAGCTCCAAGTGCGTGCTATTTACCATGACTTCTGCTTGATTTACAGAATCTCTGGCCGAGGAAGACAATTCACTTGAAGGCCAATCAGTGCCTTCTTTCCAAGCGAGCGCGCGACTAGCAGCTGTATGTCATATAATTATAACTATGATCTAGAAAACGCACCTCTATGTATTTTATGTAATTGCTCTTCGGCCTCGAGACCAGACTTTGGGATGAAACCAATCTCACCCAGGAACTGAATGCTGCGTTTTACAGCCCCCTTTAACCTCACGGATGCAGCTTCGTTTCCGCGCCAACTTGCTGCCCACATGGGCTCTTTGTTGTCGATGCTCCCTTCAATCATTTGCGCCAGCGTCCAAAGAGGGTGATGCTCTCTCTCAACTTCAATGTCCTGACGAACAGCCCTTATCCAATCCATGGCAGGCCTACTTTCGATAGTATAACCCATTTCCGTGACAATATCCCAAATCTCCCGCCACGTAATTCCACCAGTGACTTGTTTCACAGGAGCAGATGTTGTCACAGGCTCCAACACCGTATCAACTATGATACTCGCCGTACGTGCCACATCAGAGACCGGAAACCACTTATCCAGTTCATCGGCATTGCACACACCTGCCTTGATACACGCCGCAACCAGTCGCCAGATGTAATCATCCGAGTTGACAACGCCCTCGGTCGGCGTGCCAATCACAAGCCCCAAGCTAGCAACTGCGAGATTCGAAAGTCCAGACGGGATGCGTGCTGCCGCGCGCCTGACCAGAGACTCGGCGACAAACTTGGTCTGGCTGTACGGGATGCCCCCTGCAGCAAACTGTATCGCCACTTGTTCCTCAACTTCCTCCACGGGGTCCTGGTACCTGCCGCTCGAGACATATGTAAATCTCACATGGGGCGCCTTTACCGCAAGACGCAGCAATTCTGCCGTCGACCGGACGTTAGTTCCTTCCAAAGCCGCGTAGCTCTTGAGCCAGTGCACTGAAGCTCCGTTGTGAATGACTGCGTCGACTGTCATGCCGTCTTCCAGGATGCTCCAGTGCTCAGAATCAAGCCCCAAGTGCGACAGTGATAGGTCGCCAGGCCACACGTCAAGCTTTTCACCATGGCCGTCCGTCCACCATAGTGCCTTTTTTGCTGAATCGATTGTGCGGCTTCTCGCTTCCTGCGCTGAGCTACCGCGCACCAGGGCGATGACGCGGCGAATATTGTGATTCCCAAGAAGTTGGCGAAGCACCTCTGTTCCGATAAAGCCGTTGGAGCCGGTTAGAAATACCGTAATTGACATGCCGGCTTGCAGCTTGAAAGACAGGTCGTCGGTTCGTGAGCTTCTTTTAGGACTAGTAAGTTCTTCCTGCTGCGCAATTGCTATGGTGCGATCGTATCGATCTATCTCAGCCACGAGGTTTACTGCTTCTGATGCCTGAGCAAGCTGCTGGCTTTCCAATCTTCTGCAGGTTCGAGCCGACGAGTTTTGAGCTTGAGCTACTTCTTCCAGAGCATGATCAATCATATGTTGGCTATGATCAATTTGGCTCTTGGGCGAGTTGCATAAGAAAATATCTCTGTTATGCAGCTGATTGGCTGTTGTGTAGTCACTGCCAACGTTTTTCACAAACAGGCTCGAATGTTGAATGCCGCCCAAATTTTGCGGGTTTTCCGTGTCAATATCCATTATGGTAGAGTCCGGGGCGTCAGACGTATGAATTTGCCGGAATATGTGTTGGAACCGCAGCAAGATGTCTTGCTTCTGGGTGTCAGGCAAGATTGACTGGTGGAAAATTGCCGTCACATCTACGAATCTAGGCTTGACTAGGCATTTCAACGTCAATGAATGATGCCTAGGCTCGATAGAATCGTAGATGATCTCATGATCGCAAAACCATGTCCCTTGAATCTCCGACTCATTAGGCTCAACAACGAGCAACGTCTGGAACCGGCAAGCTGCTGCAGCCGTTTGTCCGAGTTGACTGATTCGGTGTAAACCAAGGTGAGTATACGCTGCCTGTTCCTCTGACCGGTACTGCAGCTCTTCTATGGCTTCTGCCACCTCCTGAGCTGGATCGATGGGCACTCGAAGTGGCGTGATGGCAAAGATGGGACCGAGCATCTTGTCTACGCCGTCGAGGGGTATATTTCTGCCAGAGGAAACAACTCCGAATATTACGTCTTCATTCTTGGTGTAACCGTAGCAAGTAATAGCCCATGCTAACTGCAGCTCGTATTCCACGTTGCTCTTGCGTTCTGAATCGATGGGCATGGTAGTACCGATCGATTTCGTCGGTGTTGATATTGTTTCCAGATCGGCTTTGTTCGAGGGCAGCTCAGGAAAATGTGCGGGATCAGCATCTTCCAACTCTGCTTTCCAAAATGAAGCCTCAGAGTCTAACGATTCTGCTACATGCTTCACATAGCGATTCAGCGGAGGCAGCTGCCGTACTGAGAGCTGACGATAGGCCTCATCAACTTCATTTAGCAGCTGTGACAATGACCAAGCATCGTAAAGTGCGTGGTGGATAGCAACGTATAGCCGCCCTTTCATAAAGCAGAGCTGGACTGACGGGCTTCCCAAGGCAAAAGATGGGCGGAATCGGGAATTTGGGTCATCGCCATCTGTATATTCCGACCAGCAGATATCTTCTCTTACAACGACTTGAAAAAAGGCTCCAGTCTTGCTCTGAATGATGCGCGTTCGAAGGATTGAATGACCTTGACTGGTGATACTCCATGCCTGTTTGACGCGGGCTTTATCAATATCGTGTTGCAACTTGAATGATCGAATTGACACACACGGATCTCCATCTAGAGCAGCTGAGGCTAAGAGATTCGCCTGTGTCGGGGTGCAGGGATATATGTCTTCAATGTTTCCTTTATTTATACCACACTGATCACTCGCGATATCGATAAGTGAGCTGGCGTCTTTGACAAGGCAAAACGGAGGAAGGCCGGAGTCGGTAGAACCTGTTTCGTCATCGTTGTCTATGAAACGAGATCTTGATCTAGATGCGTTGAGCATATCTCTCAGTCTGGGGTGTTGGAAAATATCGCTGTATGTAAGATCAAAGACCTCTTCCTGGGAAACCAGCGCCAAGAGCTTCATCGCCTGCACGGAATCGCCGCCCAAGCGAAAGAAGTCGCTATCTGCAGTGATATTGCTAGGCGATATGCCCAATACCTGTGCAAAGAGGGCTTGCAAGCGACGCTCGTCGTCTGTCTCTGGTAAATTCCCACTTGTCGACTCACCCTTGGAGCGAAATAGGACCTCCGGAGATAATGAAGACGCCAAGGCTCTCAATTGCTTGCGATCGACTTTTCCGCTTTTCGAAACCGGTATGTGAGTAACAGGCAAGAAAGGAGCTGGAATCATAGAAGCAGGCAGAATACCCCGTAGTTTGGTTGCTACGCCTTCGACGTAGATTTCTAATTCCTGTGTAATATCTTGCAAGCGTACAGTTGGCGCAGGATCCCGATTTGTGACAGAATCTGATGAATTCATGGATATGAATGCGACGAGAGTGGTCCAGCCGGAAAGTTTCACCGCTTCAACGGCCACGCGATGATTTCCAGCAGAGAAAGCTGTGCGTAGTTGAGATTCAACTTCTCCCAGCTCTACCCTCTGTCCCCTAATCTTTATCTGGAAGTCTTTGCGTCCAATGTAGTGCACGGCGCCATTAGAACCATAACGTACTAAATCTCCCGTTCGATACAGGCGGGCATCTGGCGATGCCTCGCCGCGGAAACGAGTCAACCACCGCGGAGGGGAAATGATAAACGGCGAATCGGGCAGAGTATTTTTCTTGTCGTGTAGATAGCAGCGTGCCACAGCCGGTCCCTCGATAACAAGCTCGCCGATGGCACCCACGGGCACCAGCTTTTGAAAATCTCGAGTATCCGCGACCCAAGCCGCATGCGAAACAAATGGCCATCCTAGGAAGTTAGCCTCGGAGAGGTTAGCTGGGCCGGAAATACCGAGAGGACAGCATTCGGCAGGGTTATAGCCGGTAATGAGATTCTTTGATGCCCACAATTCGATGTCCGATGTCTGAACGAGCTCGCCACCGAGCGATATTGTTCTCAAGGTAGGGAAATCGCTAGGCTGATACATACGCGCTACCGTGGGTGTGAGAAATGTCCAAGTAGCCTCAAGCTCTGTTGCGGCTCGAGGTAAAAATTCCATGCGGGCCTTTTCTGACGGAATAGCTACCGATGCCCCGGCGGTAAGGGCTGTGAGGACTTCAAAAACGCTAAGATCGAATGCATAGGAGGCGAAATGGAGTATACGGTCTTCTGGTCGAATATCGAGAGGCTTCAACGATGCTAGTGCAGTCGAAGCGAATGAGCGATGTTCGATGACAACTCCCTTTGGGTTTCCTGAAGAGCCTGATGTAAACACAGAGTAAAGTGCATGGCTCGGCCGCGTTTTAGATGATGATGGTCGTTCTGGGCTGAACTTTGTGCCATTCGGCTCGGTCATTAAATCATCCCCGAGGACGATAGTGGTTAACGCCAGTTGATCGGCCCTCATGGCATCATCCACAGTTGTTATTACCATGCTCGATCCCAAGGCCTTGCACATCTCCTTCAAACGGCTTGGGGGGTGTGACGGATCAAGAGCACAAAAAGCACCGCCAGCTTTGATGATTCCTAGCATAGCAACCGGAATCCACTTGCATCGATCGGCGCATATGGCAACGAAAACGTCTGGTCCTATGCCTTCGAGGCAAAGTTTTTGCGCAAGAATATTCGAAAGGCGATCGAGCTCCCCGTATGTGAAGGAACCATCCCAGGCAACAACGGCAAGCGAATCCGGATGTAAATCACATTGCTGGTTGATGAGATCATGGAGGCAAGATTCTGATGCCACGGGTGCCGTTTTATTCCATTGCGATATTTTCCTTTCATCGACTGGGCTGAAAATTTCAACTTTTTCCATAGCCAAATGCGGCGAATCGATAATGGATGTGAGTGCAACTCTCAGTGCGCCCGCAATATGGACAGCTTGATCATTTGACAAATATTGGCTCTGATACAACAAAATGCATTGGTTTGAAGACGGTACGTGAATAATGATATCATACTAAGGATGTTAGCGCATCTGGCATAAATCTTACATCTTTGTGGTCTTACCTGCGGGCAGCCTTCCATCAAGGTGACTTCTTGGGCAGAGATGTCGGGTGCTGCGTCCGGCGGAGTTTGTTCATCTGAAGAAAAGAGCATACATGTGTTGAACAATGCATTAGTTTCCATGCCCATGTGGCTGCAAGTCTCGGCCAAAGAAACGTCTTGATTTGACTGCGCATCGTTCAAGTCCAACTGCGCTTTTCGAACAGTCTCTAGTACGGTTGCTTCTCCTTCAAACTGAAGAAAGAAAGGCAATATATTAACCTGAGGCCTGTTGAGGGCATCATGACCATTCGCTGGTTTCTGTCGTGTTGTGAATGCATGGCCAAAGCAAAGCTCATCCGAGTCCGTATATGTGCGTAGGACCATCCCCCATGCTGTCATGAGAATAGCTGACGTTGAGACATTGAAGGCATTGAAATATTCGCTCCGTAAATTCCCTATCTCTTTCAAGTCGATTGTCACCGCCTCGATTGTCGACGAGCTTGGTGCAGCCGTAGATCGGGTTGACAGTGTTAGGATGCATGGTTCAGCTGCTTGTAGCTTTGAGTTCCAAAACTCGAGCGCTCCTTTTTTATTTACCATTTTGAGGGTACATTTACCGTCTTTCATATAAAATTCGTCTCCTTCTTTGGAAGGGTGTCGGGAGCTATGAGGATGGTGACCGTTCGAATGAAGAAACAAATACTTGTTGCTTAAAGAATTCCTGTCGCGAGGGAATAACAGAAAGAATTTTTGGGTTGTCGCGACAATGCAATTTTCTTGTCGAATGCTTGACGCATGGATTTTGATCTGTAGAGGTTGAATAACTACTTCGCTACGAAAAAAAGATCATAAATGGATAATGGAAGAGATCGTGGTACGAAGGCCGATTCTATTATTTATGAGACAGGATTAGAAGATGGATCCTAGTATCCTCTAAATGGCGATTGAGACGAAGGCTTTAGTTCCTACCATACGAATTCAGAAAAATGATGCATGTGAAATTCGTGATTACGACACCTGTTGGGGAAGAGAAGCATGTGCCCGTTCATCCGGTTTTACACTGACCGATGAGAATGGGCGATTGGCCAAAATCTCTTGGATCAATGGTTCATATAACGAGCATAGCTCGCAACCACTCATGGAGCGAAAAAAGTATTGAACACATATGACTTCAACATGCACCTCATGGCAATTACCACATAGGGATGTCAGCGCAGTGGCGGACTTCACATATACCTGGGGCTGCCTCCGTTCAAGATCATATTCCGGACACCGAATGAGGTCAATGACAATTTGGATACCGGTTTTTACCAAGTTGCGGACAAAAGTAAGTACACCTAGCAAATTCAACGTTTGAAAATAGTGTTTGAAGGGGCCTGTGAGAGAGCCGCTGAATGTTACACGGCGCAGTGGGTACATGTAATACGACATCGGACGTACATAGGCGTCACATAACGGAGTACGCCGTAACCGCATTTGGTTGATATTTATCAACAAAGTGGGGGACAGTATGAACTGAAGAATCATTGATGTCTTCTATCCATCTTCCATATCAGTCCGCAAGACCCCATAAACACAGCCCACCGGTCACCATCAGCTCGGGGCTTCTTCAGATATGTGTATGTAATTCCCTATTACACCTAGCAACTTTTCAAGTAGCACGCGTTCAAAAGTACAGCGACAAATATTCATGAAGCTGATGAAATATTATAATACCCCCAAATGCCTCTGCCTGTGGTGGTTTTCGGCATATACAGAAAACGTGCAAAGAGAAGTGGGTTAATTGAGATAATGATTTGTGTCTAGCTACCCCTGAGTGTCCAAACAGCGGCTTGATTAAATTTCCAGAGGTATGACAAAAGTCTTCGTGTGAGAGGCCACAAGAAAGCCTATCGAAAGGCTATCACATAGAAATTGCTCCACATAGAGGCACCGGAACAATTTGATGTATTTTTGTTCACATCATCCTGCCTCTTCACCTCTTCAGCTGATGATACATTCAAGACTAATGGGGCTACAAATCTGCCACAGGTAGTTGAAGGCGCACATGGGCCATCGTTAAACGCAATGGCTGCTACGCATAAAAGCTTAATTCTACCAAATTGAGGCATCTTTCACTGGGATTGGTTTTCATTAACTAGCCTCAAGTCTCAATAATTGAGGTAGGCCATGCTTCTATGTACATGATCTTGCTCTTACCCCCTCTTCTTGAGCCAAATACTCCTCACTGTACGGGTAGTCTAGGTATCCCTCGTCCGAGAACGGAATATAAAACGTGTCCCGATTATACTTCTCAAGATCGAGCCCCATCTTCAACCGGAATGGGAGATCGGGATTTGAGATATAATGTCTTCCAAAAACTACCATGACATTGTTCTGTCTGGCGTACGTCTCGTCCACAACGCGCTGAGCCGAATCGGCGTCGTAGCCGCCCGCCAGCAGGATTGGTTTCTTGTCCCCCCACATGCGCACGAAAGTCTCATTATGAATGTCCGGGTGCGTTTTGATGGTAGGGTCTTCCTCTTCAACCCAGCGCGAGTTGGCGAGGTGGACATACGCAATGTCCATCTCGGCAAGGTGTGTGAGGAAATGCTGGAACTGAGGCACCAGATCTTCCATTGTGCCCATTCCCTGGAAGGTGCTCCAGGTGGAAAGCTTCATACCGACACGGTCCTTGCCAACCGCATCAATGACTTGCTTCGTGATTTCGAGACCAAATCTCGAGCGGTTCTCGATGCTGCCGCCCCAACCATCCGTGCGCTGGTTACAAGAAGACTGGAGGAACTGGTCGATGAGGAATCCATTGGCGCCGTGGATCTCAACCCCATCGAATCCCGCGCCAAATACTGCATTCTTGGCTCCTTCAACGTAATCAGCGATGTATGATGTGATCTCGTCCTCGGTGAGAGCCCGTGGCGTCGGCTCGTCTGGACCAACTGGCGTGGCGCTGCTAGACACGAGTTCAAGCCCATTGGCTTTCAGGGTGTCCATATCGGCAGCTCGTCCAGTTGCCCAGAGTTGTAGCCAGATGTAAGAGCCTTTAGAGTGCACCGCATCAACAACCTCTTTCCAACTTGCTATTTGCTCAGGGCTCCAAATACCCGGAACATTAGGAAATCCTTTGGCTCGCGGAGAGATGGCCACGGCTTCTGTAATCAGCAAGGTTCCTGGAAGACATGCTCGCTGAGAGTAGTAGGTCTTGACGTAAGGAAACGGTACACCATCATCGTCCGCACGAAAGCGCGTCATAGGCGAGAGCACTATTTTGTGCTGAAGCACTCCTTTTCCGAAGCCAATGGGCTTGAAAAGATTCGAGGTAGACATGGTGAGATAGTATCGAGTTAGCCTAGTTGGGTTCTGGCAAGGCGGCTAGCTGACTTATGAATAAACATTGTCTTACTTTCTCGGAGAAAGATCCTCTGTAAATGACCTAGCCAGCGGGAATTTATACCCCAGGGATAGCCGCACACTACAGTGAAAATCCGTGTTCTAGTAGTTTTACACACCCCGGTTTACAGTAAAAATAACCCCGTGAAAACGAGGATTATTTCGTAGATTGGTTTCGGCTTTGCCGTCAACTCAAAGCGCTTCCCCACCTAGTCACGCTTGGTACAAAGGTTCGATCTTCTACTCATACTAATGAGAGTGTGGCAAATTGCTTGTTTCCATCAGGGGTGCAGCGAATAAAAAAACCTCAAAAGTTGGCTTTGCGGCTAAACTTGTTATTCATCGTACCAACTCCCTACTACTATCAACAGCCTCTTACTAGGACGACTGGAGCTGAAATGGCGAGTTTCACCGCTTGGAAAACCTACCTTGAAGACTACAGTCCATGTAACTTCCCAGAGTTAGTCGCTGCCGAAACTAGCAAGCCAGGCTTGGCGTCGGTTTCAACCTCTCTCAAGGAGAGCTATGACAGACTGGAATCTTTCGCAAACAAGCATTGCAATAATGATGTCGCCGCAATATTCTGCGCAGCTTGGAGTCTTGTTCTTCGGGCATATACTGGACAAGATACCGTTTGTTTTGGGAGAGCAACAAGGAACGTCAATGCCTGCCGCATTGATTTCACTTCGGACAAATCGATTTTGAGGATCCTTAAGACACTTGAAACAACTTGTGTGGAAAAGCGGCAGACTCCAGATGTCCCTGTCTCCCAGGTATCGAAGGGAACAGGGGATTTTATCACATCTTTTTTCAACACGTGTGTTTTGTCTCCCAATCAGCAGAGAGCCGGACAGGAAATAGACTCGGCTGGCCTTGACATGGTAAGAAGACCCCCTTCAAATACACAAGATAATAATATCCCGAATCTGAGAGAAATTCTGTAGTTTGGCATTGTTATCATTTTCGAAGTCAAGGAAAATGTCGCTAGTGCAACTATTAGGTACCAGACATCACTTTTACAGGAGAACCAAGCGATCAGTGTCATGAATGCTCTTGGCCAAGCGATAAGCGAAATTATCAACCAGAAAGACCAAATTGACAATATTTCTCTGCTAAGTGCCGCGGAAAAGTCACAAATTTACTCGTGGAATGCAAATCTAGCTCATCATCCGGGCTATCGCGTTGATGAGCTGATTAGTGAGCGCTGCCAACTTAATCCATCGGCGTTGGCAGTGTCCGCGCGGGACGGCGAACTTACCTATAAAGATTTGGATGAGGCATCCTCCCGCCTAGCTCAACGTCTGACAGCACTCGGTATTTGCCCAGAGGTATTTGTACCTGTTTGCTTCGAGAAGTCCCGCTGGACTATTGTCGCCATGCTTGGGGTGATGAAAGCTGGCGGCGCGTTTGTACTACTCGATCCATCACATCCTCATAAGAGACTTCTCGACATCTGCAACAAAGTGTCGGCCAAGCTCATCGTTTGCTCAACTCAGTATGCCAAACTAGCGGCGAGTCTGGCACCTTTCATTGTCGAACTGGGAGACAACGATGCAAAAAGGAACGGGCATACGGAAGACATTCAGAAATCGGACGCTTCGGTGACTCCTGGAACCGCTCTATATTCTGTGTTTACGTCAGGTTCGACTGGGACGCCAAAAGGCGTGGTCAGCGAGCACTCGTCGTTCCTTGCAGCTATGCCGACATACATCAAATCTCTCGGACTTAATCAGGAATCACGGGTTTTTCAATTCGCCTCCTATGCATTCGACGTCACAATCTTTGACACTCTTATGACTCTGACTGTTGGTGGGTGTGTATGCGTGCCCTCGGATACTGAGAGATCGAACGATTTGGCAAATGCAATCCGGCACTTTCGAGCCACCCATCTGAGTCTAACTCCAACGGTTGCACGGATATTAGATCCTCAAGATTTTCCAACACTGCAAAATCTAACTCTCGGGGGTGAGAAATTGGTGGCAAGCGAATTTTCTAAGTGGGTAAACCATGTTCGTGTGGTTCATCTTTATGGAGCGACTGAGTGCTCTATGATGTCAATCCAGTGCATCACAGGAACTTCGTCCAATCTCCAGACGATAAATCACGACACCGGAAGTGCTTGCTGGGTGGTTGACCCGGGAAGCCATGATAGACTACAGGCCATCGGCGCAATTGGAGAATTGATGATTGAAGGAGAAATCGTGGGACGCGGC